TTCAGGAATTTTTGCAATTTTTGCAATTTTCAGGCATTTTTGCGATTTTTTCAATTTTCAGGCATTTTTGCGATTTTTGCAGTTTTCAGGAATTTTTGCAATTTTTGCAATTTTCAGGAATTTTTGCAATTTTTGCAATTTTCAGGTATTTTTGCGATTTTTGCAATTTTCAGGCATTTTTGCGATTTTTGCAATTTTCAGGCATTTTTGCGATTTTTTCAATTTTCAGGCATTTTTGCGATTTTTGCAATTTTCAGGCATTTTTGTGATTTTTGCAATTTTCAGGAATTTTAGCGATTTTTGCAATTTTTACAATTTTCAGGAATTTTTGCGAGTATTTAAATTTTCAGGCATTTTTGCGATTTTTACAGTTTTCAGGAATTTTTGCAATTTTTGCAATTTTCAGGCATTTTTGCGATTTTTTCAATTTCCAGGCATTTTTGCGATTTTTGCAATTTTTACAATTTTCAGGAATTTTTGCGAGTTTTTCAATTTTCAGGCATTTTTGCGATTTTTGCAGTCTTCAGGAATTTTTGCTATTTTCAGGAATTTTTGCGATTTTGCAATTTTCAGGAATTTTTGCGATTTTTGCAATTTTCAGGAATTTTCGCAATTTTCAGGAATTTTTGCAATTTTTGTAATTTTTAGGCATTTTTGCGATTTTCTCAATTTTCAGGCATTTTTGCGATTTTCTCAATTTTCAGGCATTTTTGCAATTTTCAGGAATTTCAGCGATTTTTGCAATTTTTACAATTTTCAGGAATTTTTGCGAGTTTTTCAATTTTCAGGCATTTTTGCGATTTTTGCAGTTTTCAGGAATTTTTGCAATTTTCAGGAATTTTTGCAATTTTCAGGAATTTTTGCGATTATTGCAATTTTCAGGAATTTTCGCAATTTTCAGGAATTTTTGCAATTTTCAGGCATTTTTGCGATTTTTTCAATTTTCAGGAATTTTTGCGATTTTTGCAGTTTTCAGGAATTTTTGCAATTTTCAGGAATATTTGCAATTTTCGCAATTTTCAGGCATTTTTGCGATTTTTTCAATTTTCAGGCATTTTTGCGATTTTTTCAATTTTCAGGCATTTTTTTGATTTTTGCAATTTTCAGGAATTTCAGCGATTTTTGCAATTTTTACAATTTTCAGGAATTTTTGCGGGTTTTTCAATTTTCAGGTATTTTTGCGATTTTTACAGTTTTCAGGAATTTTTGCAATTTTTGCAATTTTCAGGCATTTTTGCGATTTTTTCAATTTTCAGGCATTTTTGCGATTTTTGCAATTTTCAGGAATTTCAGCGATTTTTGCAATTTTTACAAGTTTCAGGAATTTTTGCGAGTTTTTCAATTTTCAGGCATTTTTGCGATTTTTGCAGTTTTCAGGAATTTTTGCAATTTTTGCAATTTTCAGGAATTTTTGCAATTTTCAGGCATTTTTGCGATTTTTGCAATATTCTGTCATTTTTGCGATTTTTGCAATTTTCAGGAATTTTTGCAATTTTCGCAAGTTTCAGGCATTTTTGCGATTTCTGCAATTTTAGTAATTTCCAGGAATTTTTGCAATTTTCACGCATTTCAGGAATTTTTGCAATTTTCAGTAATGTGCGATATTTGCAATTTTCAGAAATTTTTGCAATTTTTGCATTTTTCAGGCATTTTTGCGATTTTTGCAATTTTCAGGAATTTTTGCAATAATTGCAATTTTCACGCATTTAACAAATAAGTGTTACAACGGGAAACTGTAGAGTCCTCATAAAAGAATTTTTTTCTTTTACGAAATTCTTCTCCGGGCTTCCGTTTTCAATATACAGGGCGTCAAAAAAATCAGTTTTTTTGCTCCTATGTCAGGTACCGTTTGAGCTACGGAGCTGAACCTTTGTACACACTTCATCATCAATAATGATTACATCTAAGGCTCTTGATCTGGCATGCTCGGGGTGACTCCCTGGGACATACAAAAATAATCAGCCAAGTTTCAAGCCCACTAATGGATATGGGAAGGGACAAAATGCTGCCTAGAAACAACTATTACAGACCCTTCAACACTCAGTTCTACTGGGATGAAATGGTCTTGACTAACTGTCAAGAAGGCACGTTAGTGTGGTACACTGACGGTTCTAAGACTGATGAGGGCACGGGAGCCGGAATATATGGAGATAGACCCAGAACCAGGATGTGTGCTTCCTTGAAGAGGTATGCTTCAGTATTCCAGGCAGAGGTGCATGCTATCCTCATATGCTCAGATAGTCAGGCGGCCATTCAATCTTTAACATGCAATAAAATAAGATCAAAACTGGTCTGAGATTGCCTTCAAAGCCTGCTGACCCTGGCTAACCACAACAAGGTGACTCTTCAATGGGTGCCAGGGCATAGGTGAATTCAAGGCAATGAAGCAGCTGACGCTCTTGCCAGGCAAGGGTCTGCGACGTTGTTTATGGGACCGGAACCTGTATTCGGTATCCCCAAAACCTCAATACGCGGCTGGCTGGCTGGCAAGGTGGATGCAAGAAAGATATCAGGCATACTGGAACAATGTCTCAGGACAAAGACACAGTAAACTGATGATTGGAACACTGTCCAAAACAGTGATTAACGACATTCTGAGCCTAAACAGAAGTCAGATCAAACAAGTGACGGGACTAATAACCGGTCACTGCCCCTTGAGGAAACATATGCATCAAATGGGCATATATACAGACGAACCCATATGCAGACTATTCAATGAGGAAGAGGAGGAAACTGCCACTCATGTAATATTGGAGTGCGAAGCACTAGCGCGTTGGAGATACAACCTTCTGGGAGCAGTAAACTCTCAAGAGGCATTTTCAAAGAATGATTTGGTGAAGAGGCTGCTAAACCTCATCAAGGTAGCGAACCTGTTCACCTAAGTCAACAGCATGATCAGGAATACAATAGGCCCAAAGGCTGCAGTGTTTTGGGCTTCAAACCCTGACTGATCATTCTGCTATTAATCAATCAATCAATCAAGGCGCTTGATCAATTTCCTTGGAAATGTCAGTGGCGGAGAGTTCAACGCCTCGTAACCCCCCAAACTTGCATGCCACTGGAGAAATTGTAATATTCAAAGCACATTCTGAAGCGCCAATATCTTTCACACAAAAAAGGTCCTCCTGCTTCGATGCTCTGAAGTGAACAGTTTTCGATAAAAATGGCGATTTATGAATAAAAACATACGAAATCCTCGTATCTCTGAAAATCGTCTGAAATTCATAAACAATAAAGTGGGATTTTGTATGTTCTTATCCATAAATCGCCATTTTTCTCGAAAACTGTTCACTTGCATTGAATCAAGAGGAACTTTTTTGTGTGGTAGGTATTGGCGCTTCAGAATGTGCTTATGGAAATTACAATTTCTACAGTGGCATGAAAGTTTGGGGGGTTAAACCTGTGACCAAATTTCGATCATTTCAAAATTTAGTATAGGTATCGTGATTCTCGGACGATCCTGTATGTTTCTAGCGTGTTTTTATCATTTCTTCTAATTCGCAAAAAAGGAACGTGCGATCGACTGACGGCCGAGATAGGTAGGTACGGGGTACCGGAGAAAAAACATTTATTTGTGGCAAGAACGACAGAGATCTGTGAAATAACTGGCAGTGATCTGGTTTTAACAAACCAAAACTGAAGAATTGTAAATATTCGAACATTCAAAACAAGATATGTGGCACAAAGCTGCTTTTGGCTGGCAAAATCAGGAAGAACCAACATGCTATTCATCATGTATCCACATGTATATGCACTTAGTTTGTTTTCAATGTTTCTTTCTACTTCAAATGGAGTTATCTGATTTCTGCTGCACATGTTCTTGTATGTCAATGCTCTCAGTATACTTGTGTTGTTTTCTCAGAACGAACTTCACACAATTTTATGTGTGACGGTTAACTCAACGCAAATAATGAAAAAATGGAGTAATCTTATTATTGCAGTAACCCGACGATATATTATAAATTCAAACTATTTCGAAAAAAAATTCAATAGGTGTCACTAGATAATAGTTGTCTTTTTGATAAATGCGTAAATATTTTGTAGTTTTATAAGAAATTCTAGCGTAACCGGCGTTTAGGAAGGAAACACTCATACAGGGTAGGGTGTCCGGAGATAAAACCGACAAAACTTATATAGGGGCTATAGGGACTGTCAATCTGATTGCAAAATGCCATATACGAATGTGCACAACCGCTTCGTTACTGACATACAGAGTGATTTACCATTTATCCATTATATATTTTCAAACTACTATTTATTACGAAGCTCGTTCGCCATATTGGATCCGCCATCTTGACGCTATCTGGTTCATCATTTTGTTTTCTTTCACGTGCTATACTGCAACAACTGAAAGCTTCAGTACTGACCAAGAGATGGTGCTAGTTACTCTATAGAACTGAAGGAAACTTCATTTCTATATAATTCCATACTGTATAACTCCATACAAGATTCAAGACTTGTTACAGTTTTGAACTGTGATATTTCAGTGATTCAGAGAGAGTTGTTACATTGCATAGCTCGAAATAGTCAATTCCATCACTCAAAACAAACTTATATTACTATGTTATTTCATTGCTTCTGCAGTGACTGTAGTTATTGAACTTACTCCCCTAATGAAAATAATGATTTTTGATCACAGAGCTTCATATTATCAATTATATAATTTAGACCAATAGTGTAACAAGTCCGAACAAAATAATCTCTTACCAAATTACTAAAATTACCCAGAAGGTAGGAAAACTAGTCAATATGGCAACATAGGTGCAGAACTTCTGTAGGAATAATGCGATATTGCCATCTACTTCACTCGCTCTTACGTCATAATTTCTAACTTGGCAAAGGCGCAGGCCGTTGGATTGTTCTAAATTGTTCTAAAATCATTGTTCTTATCCATCATTCGGTTGCCCCCTCAGAAGTCTTCAAGAGAATTGTGCGAGCAAGGAATGACGGGGTTCTTACCTTTTAATTTGTCATCTTAGGCCATCAGAAAAACTTCTGCGGTCGTAGTGGGAATGGACCCCACTTACTGGCAATCCAATGTGGATAGAATATTGACGCTTCAACCACGAGGCTACGCTGGATCGGTCCATCCTGTATAGTTTATAGGCCTTGAGCTACACCCTGAACTACCCAGTATATTTTTTGTTGTAGTCGATGATGCCATGTCGGTTTGCAATAGCGTGTACGAAGAATATGACCCCTACGATTTCATTTATTCCGGTTCCGGAAATAACAGCATATCCGATCCTATTTACGCCACTATAAACAAACCGGACAATACGCCGCTTTCTCCGGGAGCTCCTCGGATGTCAACGATCGACAGAAGAACCTCAAAAAGCTTCAAGGTGAGTCAATTCAATTCAATTCAATGTATGCTTAATTGCCAAAAATGCGAACACGACACTATTTATTTTCGAACTGATTCATTTGAACTAAAGAAACACTAATTTATAAAGAACTTATAACTACTATTCATGTAAAATGATTTTTATCACGCGGTATATAACTGTATCTCTGACACTCGCTGCTCGACTGGCTGACGGCAGTTGTCCGACCGTTTATATATGAGATCCCTTGGTAGGCTTTGGTTCGAGAACGTTCTCGAATGATCTTCCGTCTCCTTATTTTTGTTCTAGAAGCTTCTTAGGCCGTAGGGTCTAAACCGGTAACTTCTTAATGAAGGTTTCATGTAAAGTGTGGTCGACCGACTTTGTGTTACTTCTGTTCCTTTTTCTTTTGACATTCGTATTTGTTGACAAAGCTTGTACATATACATATTAAAATGAAATATAATAAGCAATATGCAATTCAAAACGTGAAGGTTTCTGAAATACATTTGAAAATATACCATCAAAGCTCGTCTCTGTGAAAAATATTCCTCCTGGTTGTATAGTGGAGTCTGAACGAGCAATAGTCTGTAATTTTTTGCAACACGGAATTTCTTTGATATGATTTGGCAAATGATTGAATATCTTAATTCCACTATAAATAATTATTATCAATTTAACTTTTCCGTTCTGTCTTGTGTTGTAATGTGATGAAATAAGATCGAAAGGAGTTGTTTTTTTTTTGTATCAGAGCCGTTGTTTTTCTAAGATGTATAAGCCAACTACTGTCAGGATGCCGCAATTCTTGAATAAATTTCTACATGATTCCTTTGATTTTGCTCCACACATATATCTTACGACCCCCTTTTGTAAGACAAAACTCCTCTGGAATAGCTGATCACTGCAGACTTCCCAGAATGCAATTCTATATCTCAAATGAGATTCAATGAGGGCGAAGTATGCAGCTCTAGCAGTCACAAACCCTAATTCTGCAGCAATAGTTCTAACAGTGAAGCATCCAGGCGCCAACGTTCTACACATAGAAGTTACATATTCATTGAATATTAGTTTTGAAGTTTTATTTTCTATTTTTTCACTTCCCATACCTAAATTTGGTAGTCAATTCATCTCTTCGTGTGTTATCCTCGCATTATTTCAGTTCTTAAATGTGAATCTCTCCCCGACTGGGCTAGTAGTTCAAAAAGAAGAAGAATGAGAGTCAACTTAATTTGATTAAATGTAATTTATGTAGATTACGAAATCGTCCAAGGACTTTTTCTACATTATCATGATATTTTGACAGTTGTAGAAAATGTAATATGTCCATCCCAAAGCTCTTTTTTTATAAGGGAATAGTAGTTAGAGGAAAATCTACTTTCCCACATATGAAAATACCATAGGTACCAATTTTTGGCGTCTGTATTTGTTTCTGAACTTGAGCTTCCTCAGTTATGTCAGCTGAAAAAACTTTATCGTAATTCTGCGTATTATTCCGAAAAGCATAGTTTTTAGTAGCAATGCATATACAAATATTGATGACAAATCATCAAAACCTAATAGGTTACCCAATAAATTCCACTCAAAGGAAACAAGTTTCTTAATTTTTCTTATAAAAGCTCTTATATTTTGATTCTTGTTCAGCAAATCATGCCACATAATTATGTTTGATCAAATTGTGATAGGCAGGTATTTTTTGAGATTGATTTTGAATCTGCTTATCTGATCTGGTTGCATAACTGTGGACTGTATTGACTTTATTGGGAGCTAGGTTTGATATTCATTCCTATAAATTTTCGGGATGTCTTTTGAATATATTCGATATTTTTTTTCTGGACAAAACAAAAAAAGATTTTTTTTGCTTTAGAGAAACCTTCTGGATATCATTAAAGAAGTTGGCGATCGATCATATAGTAAAGATCCGGATTTGAGGGCCTTTCACAATATGGTCTGCAATGTTAGAAGTAAGTTATTCATTTTATTCAATGTAGCTAACCATCAGGTGAACATCAAAGATGATAAAATGTAATCTACTTACTACTTGATACTTGGGCATAATTCATGGATTTTCAATTATAGCATTTATTTTTCTAATATTTGAGTTTTTTCAATCATCACATTATGTATAGTGGTATTATGTGTGTAGTTGACGTTTGCATTTTTTTAAACTGAAAGTGAGTGAACTTTGAAAAAAAAATTGTTTTTTTTTCTGTGACGGGTAAAAATGTTGGCATTTCATCTCTGTTGGCAGGTTATAAAATGTCACTTTTCATAAATTACTCTTTTTCCGTGGGAAAAAAGTGAGTACTGTTTTCCCGGATATATATCACATATATACAGTGTGTCCCACTTACCATGCTCACCATGGGTATCTTTTTAACGGTGAGAGATACGAGGTCGGTTAAATGACACCAAATGTGGAGTTTGTCAAGGCCAACTATAATGTGAAAAAATATTTTGATAAAATCTATTCGTTTTTGTTTTATACGCAAAAATTTGATTTTGATCATTTTCATGTCTCCTCCTTAACGTTTTTATTTATAAAAATATTCAAATAGGAATTTCAAATTCTCATGGCAGTTTTTCAAAGTGATTTCGAAAAAAATATGAAAATTATACCAACTCTTCTAGAATTAGAGATATCAGCACCAACTTTAGTTTTTCAAATGTAGGTCATAGCTCACTATGACTTAGTTACAAATAACTTTTTTTTCTCTTACAGATGATATGTCACAGTAATAGTTTTGTGTTGATAACAACGGATTTATCGTCATTTATACAAAAACAAAAAATTATTTGGAAGCCGCCATCTTGAATTTATAAATGTTGACAAAAAAATTATGATCTCCGACCTCAAAAGCCCCCACTTACCAATTTTGAATGGAATCGATTCTCCTGTCACAGAAAAAAAATGTGAATTATACATGGGAAAAACATTAGATTTTGCTCTCACACAATCAAAACGAAATCTAATACTTTTTTCCCCTAGTATAATAAATAGCTAGTTTCTGCATGAAATATGAAAGGTACCTGTAGCAGGAGAGAGTACCAACTCTTGACGTTTGTTACTGTTTGTTAAAAGCTAAACATAATCAGTGATATTCTTTCAAAAATATACTCTTATACAAATTCAGATATCTCGATATAAAGTCATATCATATTTTGCTATTCTGAAAAAAAGCAATCCGGAGTTGTGGTGATTTTCCAAAATGGTATCAATTATTTTTCAGAACAGTATCGTTATAACGATCCAGACACTAATATGGGCCTAGTAATTAGCCCAATGGTGAACTACCAGTACACAGATGGTCTCAGTATTAAATTGCAAGTTCATCCTGATATCGAAGGGGCGGACTTCAGCCAACCTATCAGTTTTACATGTGATGGTAAGTATTCTCTTGATAAAATATGTACCAAAACAACCTGAAGATGACCCCTCAGAGTCGAAACATGTTGCGAACACCATCGAATTACAGTGTGTATGGAAAATCAAATTTAATTCAACATGCTTCATGGCGAAAGATGATTGTACAGATTAAGAATGAAGCGCAGGAGAAACAGAAACATTGTTCACAATTTTACTTTCTATAATATGCATCATATTTCATATTCAATCAAGAAATTCAAATATTGAGTAGGTACTTACTTCGCAAATTTTGCTGACTGAACTCAATTTCCACATTGACCGCTTCATATTTTCATTCCATTCTTGTAGCTGTTGTTTAGTATCAGGGGAAATGGAATAAATGGCCACTCTAAAAACTGAATTTTCAAATAATTCAATGTCATGTACGTTCATGAACTGTCAGTGCCCGCGAAATTGGTCATGTCATTTCAATTTTTTTAGGGTTATGCCTTCTGTCACTGCTTGTCATAGTCTCCGTACTCTTATTCGCGAGATTCACGAAGTGGGCGACATCTAGGTTACATAATACGAACTTCAAACTGGGGGAAAACAAACTGTTGTCTATGGATAAAGTGCATAGACTACATTGCATTCAGCTTGCTGTAGCTGTAGTCAAACTTGTCAACGACATAAAGTGTTGGCACTGTTGGTAGTGATGATGATTGAGTTGGTTAATTTTTTCACATTATTACATTTTTATTAGTTTAGTGAACAGGGAACGGGTGAAGAATTGGAGATAGTTCAAACAATTCAAACTAATTATGACGAGCAAATCAATTGACATATAAAAGAACAGCTACAACATGTTTACAATACCCAGATTGTCCTGCTTTGCATGAACAAATACAAATCCATTGTTCTACAGGAGTTCCTCTGGAAACCAACTTCAATTTTACTCCATGTGGGGAAGATTTCATCGCCGAAGTTTGTAGACAAAGTGCAAAAATGTGCCTTTTGTTGAAGTCTTCTGCCTCACACAAAATCACATGATTAGCACGGAGAACTGCTTCTCCTTCCATTACTGGTCGGCTTTTTCCGTCTAAATGGAGCAAAATATCTGCCAAAAGTACATCTACAACAGGCATCATTAGCGTTTTCGATCGAATATTGACAATTAATGTCAAGAAATTTGAAAACTTATCACTCTTATCAGTACACAGTACACAAGCTACTGGCACTGATGGGATTAAGTGCTTGAGTGAGGATTGAGTTTGTTTTCCCCCAGTTTTGACGTGGCTTTGACATGGAATGATGAAAACCGAGCGCCACCTGGTAACATTGATTCCCGCGATTAGGTCGCGTGCACGATGACTGACCCTAGAGGTGAAATATTGAAACACAACCTCACTCTTCTGTAAAACATTGAAACACTACCTCACTTTTTTTATTTGTTTACAGAGGAATCAAAGTAAGTATTGAATAGTTTTTCACAATATATTGGCATACAAATCGTGGTTTTTGCGCTATTCATTAATTCAAGCATGCCTTCTCATTGTGCTGTTGTTCATTGCACAAAAAATGCAGCGAATGATTTCTCATTCACTAATTTATTTCATCTTGTCATAATGTACTTTTCATTATTATTATTATATATTTTTTTGATTATTTCAATAACTATAATTTAATTTGATAACACATGAATAATCTCATACCAGATATGAATCTGTCTGATTATTCATGTTATTCCATTGTAAATGTTAATGATTATATTATATGAGATGCAATGTAATGTTTATAGCAAAGAATGAAATAAAAAAAAATGATTTTTCAGGTAAATGGTTATCTCACATAGTTTTCATTATGAAATATTTTCATTTCTTATCGAAATTTTGGTGGAGTTGACTGTAAGATTTTCTTCCTTCAAAACCAGAGGCAGAAAAAATATCTTGAACCAAATGGAATATTATAATTTATCACAGGGTGACCTGAAGAATCAGAGCCAGATCAAAATCTTATTGATGGGAATTGAAAAAATACTCAGTGCGTTTGAGCTGAATGAATATTAGAAATATCATATACAGAGCGAGCTGAATTCCAGAGGCAGATCAAATATCTTGTACCAAATGGAATATTATAATAAATTACAGGGTGAGCAGAAAAACCAGCGGCAGATTGAAATCTTATCGATGAATATTTAAAAAATACACAGTGTTACGGAAAGCCTTGATGTTGTTGCGTTCAACATTGAAATCATTATTTTCTTTTCTTGTATGTTTACGTTGCACTGAATCGTCCTGTATACTTGCCATGATGACCTGATGAGATGCGGATCTTCAGACAAATTCGTATCTGTACGTCGTCTTAGAGATGTTTTGTTTGACAATTCAATCTGACATAATTTTAAGCATAGGCGATTCCTGATGCTTCGCGTTTTTTAATTAATTTCTAAATTCTCATAATATCATACGAGACTACCTATTAGTGACATTAAGTGTGTGTGCCATCTTTGCCAACATCTTGTATTCCCGCTATCCAACCAAAAGGGCCCTTTGTGAAGTGGAAAGGAGTCTATGGGACTTCAACGGATTCCAAGTATATGGTGAGTCGTTTTGGTGCAACCGAGTACTTCCTATAATTTTCCAAAATACTAGTTTCTTCATTTAATAACTGCTTGAATAACGTCCACGTGATTCGAACCACATCGAGGCTATCGATTCGCTAACATTTGGTCCTTCGATCCAGGGATGTACTGGTTTTTTTTTTAAATTAATTAATTAAGTATACCCTTTCCACTTTTCTAAAAGTTTTTGAAGTTCGCATTAAATGCTTTGAGATTGGTTATTTGTGGCTGAAGTTGTGAAACCAGAGTATTCTACTTGATATCACGCATTCTTTCAACTAAGTGAATTGTTTGAAATCCAAATCATGGCCGATAAATTGAAAAAGTATCGAACCTATCGAACAACCTATATGAATGAAATTCATATCATTCGAAATTTAGCAGAACGTGCGAAACTCGATGAAACTGTTCGAACGATGTTCAAAGTTCGATGCGTCGATTTGGATAGTACCCGCGATGAGTTTTTGAAACAACACAACGCAGTTGTCACGACATTGTTGACGCTTCCAGATAGCGATGTCGATATTGAAGACGGTGTGCGCGAGGTTTTTTTGGAAGAATATTATTTCATCAAAGGCGTTTATACTGATCTATTTGAATCTCTCAATAGTTCTACTGCATCGCCAGGTTTGAATTCTACTATTGCACCGTCAAGAAATACCCATCAGTCACATGTCAATCTGCCAAAAATAGAATTGCCCAAATTTGGTGGAGATTATAAGGCATTTCCATCATATTTAGAATTGTTCAATGCTCTCGTTCATTCTAATACATCATTAACTGAAATTGAGAAATTTAATTATTTAGTCTCGTCTTTACAGGGTGCTCCGTTATCGCTTGTTCGCACATTACCTTTAATTTCTGATAATTATGAAATCGCATACCATACTTTAGAAGAACGATACGCACACACACGTTTACGCGCTCAGGCTCATTGGCTCGAGCTTGAAAATTCTGCCAAAGTTCCTTCTGATAATACCATCGCCCTTCGCAAACTATTAGATACGTTTTCAGAAAACTTGGCCGCGCTCAACCAAATGAAATTTCCCACCGAACATTGGGACTTTTTACTTGTTATGATGATTTTGAAACGTCTTGATCATACTATTGTAACCCGCTTCGAGCTAGAACATAATTCCTCGGATATTCCAACTTATAAACATCTTATTGATTTTTTGAACAAGCATTGCGCCGCACTTGAAACAATTAATTTTTCGCAATCTTCGTTCCATGCAAAACGCGCTCCTATCATTAAACCGCCTGCTCCCGCACCTTCGCCAAATCGCCCTTCGTTGACTTCTACATTTTTTATTAACAAGTCTCCAACTACTAATTGTGCCTTGTGTAAAGAAAATCATTCACTTTACACATGTGCTGCTTTTGCTGCCAAATCAGAATCAGAACGCTACTCTTTTTGCCGATCAGCTCATCTCTGCTTCAATTGTTTGAGCAGTGCTCATGATATACGATCATGCAAATCCAATTACACTTGTAAAAAATGTAAATCTAGGTACCATCATACTTTATTGCACACTGACAAACTAAATCATCCTTCTCGTTCAGATTCGAACATAAATTCTTCTAATAATTTTGCAAGTCAGAGTGGTAATCGGAATAATCAAGAACAAAATTCGTCTCCTCTTTCTCATTCGTCTTCTCCCTCTTATTCTGCGAATAGTGTCAGTACTGGTGCAACTAGTAGTACTACCACTTGTTTGGCAGGCACACAAGCTGGTAGTTTGAATACCAGCGTGCTATTAGCCACTGCATGGATTGATATTCTTGATAGTCGAGGGGAGTATCAACCCTTACGTTGTATAATTGATAGTGGAAGTATGAGTTCGTTCGTCACAGGACGAGCAGTTCGTAAATTGGGTTTGCCTCACTCCCAAGTGGCCACTGAAATAAAAGGAATAGGGACGATGCAATATTACTCAACTAAAGGTCAACTAACCCTCGCCATCAAGCCTGCAGGAAAAGATTCTCCTCTTTTGTTCACTGATGCTATAATTCTAAATAAGATTTGTGATAATTTACCTACGTCAAAACTTTCTGTCGAAACTTGGTCGCATCTTTCAAATCTGCAACTTGCTGATCGTAATTTTTATTCTCCTGGTGCTGTGGACGTATTATTGGGTGCTGACATCTTTCCGAAAATTTTATTGAACGGTAAAATTTCTGGAAATACTGATGCACCGCAAGCAATAAATACGGTGTTTGGTTACATTGTGATGGGACGCTTGGAAAATTTTGCTCCATCCATTACTCCCGAGATTACTTCTTTTCTTTCTTACGATGTAGAAGGAACTTTGAGTAAATTTTGGGAGGTGGAGGAAATCCCGGGGATAAAGGTAATATCACCTGAAGAAGTTTTATGCGAAGAACATTTTTCTTCAACTCACTTCAGAAACTCTTCAGGT